TTCAGGTTTCAGTGCATCAAACACTCCATCGCCCCGTCTCTCCTCTGTATTCCATAGAGGCGCTACTTTTTTGCCATGCGTCTTGGTGACACGATTTATTAGCCCAAGCATAGCGGTACAAGACTTCTCGGGGAGATGCATGGATATGGACATCAGTTGTTTGGCGAAAGCTGCAACGCGGAGGGGCGGAACGGCGCGAATTGAGGTGGCGGGTAGGAGGACGGAGGAGAGGGAGCGGATAAGTAGGACGATGGTGGTTTGTACGTTGATTTTTGCGGTGTCGGCATGTGATGTCGCAGCGTTGGGGTCGGGAAGATGGAGAGACTTGGAGCTGAGTTCGATGTCCGGGTTCAATGCGACAGGATGTAGTGTGCGGTAGAGATGGGTGATGAAATAGCTGAGGTCGAGTTTCAAGACTGACGCTGTTTTCGCTCCGTCTTGGCCTTCGAGTAGTGCAAAGGCTGTAATGACGCAAAGGAGAGACTCGCGCGTAAGGTTGCGCTCGGGTGCTTCGTTATCGTCATCTTCATCCGATGCGTCTTCGTCGTCTTCAACTGCGGCAGCGGCCGTAAGCTCGGCGGTGGCGATGATGTCTCGAAGAGCTTCCAGGATATCTCCAAAGAAATCTTGGTTGATCAGGTGTGCGTATCGTGCCAGACCTTCCAACACCGCACCCATGAGTTTGGGCGAGCGAGCCTTTAGGATTCGGAAGTATGCCACAAACACCATCTTGAGCGTCTCAGCCTGCATCCTGTCACGCTCCTCGTGACCGACAGCTGCATCCGCCTCCTTGAACTCCTTCTCGATCGCTTTCCTCTCCTTGAGCTCCTTTCGTAACCTCTTTGTCCTGAACTCGCGCTTCTGCTTCATCTTCTTGCCATTGACCATTGGGTCTTCAGCCTTGTCGACGGAATGGTATGAGGCCTTCTGCGCAAACTCTGATAGTAGCCGCAGGTGCAGAAACGTGTTCAGCACGCTTTCGTCGAAGTGGTAGTTCCGGCTCTTCATCATCTTTGTCAACATGGTGACGGCTTCCAGCGCAGCGTTGCCATCCTCATCGTTCTCAAACAGGGTTTCCATGGCCTCCCTGCATCGTACAAAGTCGGCATCCACCCTCCTCGTGCTAAGTTTGCCAACGAGAATCTTCAACAGCTCTCCACGGAAGTTGAAATGCGGCACCGAGTTGAGCAGGTTGCATGCGCAGCTGACAGCGACTGTTGCCAGACCAGCCATGTGCTCTTTGTCCGATCCGCTCGACTTTGCTAGCCTCGCGAGGTGCTTTACATATGCCTCGTAGCTGGATACCAGCTTCTGCTCGAACTGCCGCAACTTCTTGACTTCCTTTGAGATCTTCTCTTGCATCTTCTCTTCCGACAACGGCCGAATCCTGTATCCGGGGATAATGTCCTTGAAGATGGAGACTTGTGTCGCCAACGCCAGCTTCTTGACGGTAGTGTTGTCCGAGTCGGCGAGGGCTTGCAGTGCCTTGAGCGCTCCAACGTGCTCCTCGGGGTCCTCGTTGACCAGACCTGCTATGCGCGCAAGCTCTTCCTTGGCGTCGAGTATCTGTTGTCGCGCTGGTATCTTGGGCTTCTCCTCGTCCACGTCTTGTAGATGCGACGCCTCGAGCGCCCCGTCGTCGCTGCCAGAGGCGAGAAAGCTGTCGGATTCTTCCTCTTTGATATCCTGCGCATTGGGCGGCGCCGCTACCCATCCCTCGGTTGTCCTGACGGGCAGCTTCTTGTTCTCCCTCTGCTTCTTCAGTCTGCGCGGTCGCGTTTCGTAGTCTTGTTCGAGATGCCATTTCGCGGCGTTCTTCACGAAGCTTGCCTGGTGGTCTTCGGCCGCGCCGCTGGCATGCTCGCCGTGTTCGGGCGGAGACAGCCGCCTTCTCTTCGCAGCCGGGACGCGAGACATGGCGCAGGTGCTCGTGGGCCGATGTGGGCGACGGTCAGGCTTGGTTGGGGATTGCACACCCGACTGTCTGAAATTTTGGCGGAGGCTGCGGAGGAGCCTAGCCCGGCTAGCATGCGCCCCACAAATTTTTGGCAGCAGAGGTCGACTTTGCGAACATGCGCCCAGCCCCAACCTCAACTCAGCACTTGTCTACATACGCCCACGATGAGGCCGCTCACAGAACCAGAGACCAAGACGCTCTTTGAGAAGCTCGCGACGTATTGCGGAAAGGGCATATCGAACCTCATCGCCGACCCTACAGGCGGGTCGGATCGCAATGTCTTCCGCGTCCAGGTATTCACTCTTCCAACCGCCCCCACCCGTCCCCAGCTAGCTCAACTTGCTAACAATCAACGCATAGGGCTCACGAGTCTACTACGTCCGCGAGTCCCTCGCCAATCTTGCCACATCCGTCGCGCGCGACAACCTCCTCTCTCTCGGCATCTGCCTGGGCAAATTCACCAAGACGGGCAAATTCCGCCTGCACATCACCGCGCTGAGTGTAATCGCCCCGCACGCACGATACAAGGTCTGGGTCAAGCAAAACGGCGAGATGCCCTTCCTGTACGGCGGCAATGTGCTCAAGGCGCATGTCGGACGGTGGAGTGAGGATTGCCCGGAACATCAAGGTGTTGTTGTGCTGAGCATGAACGATACGCCATTGGTAAGTCGGCCGCCAGCTGTAAAGCGACGAACCGAATCTTGGGCTAACATGTAACATCAGGGCTTTGGTGTGAGTGCACGATCGACGGCCGAGGCGAGGAAACTGGATCCTACGGGTATTGTCACCTTCAGACAAGCGGATATCGGAGAATACCTGAGAGAGGAAGACACTTTGTTCACAACTTGAGCGGCCGGGAGCCTGTGCGACCATGGACACTCTGCAAGAGAAGCTTACTGCTTTGCCACAACCGGGGCCAGAAACCAAGGCTCGCGTGCACGGCATATCCGTTTGCTACCCACTCGCATTCACTATGACAATACGCTGAGTAGTCCATCTGATGGTATCTAAGCATGAATGACCAGAGCATCATGCACCACTTGCATTGTCATGCTGATTTGGACTTGCTCTTGCTTGTCCCAATGATTCTAATCTACATAAGTTTTGTGAAGCCGGTCGCTCGGCAAGGGTATCAATGTCTGATTCTCGTCTCCCAGCCAAGTAGAAGCTGCACTTGGAAAGTCGTAGTCTGCTGCTACACACTTCACCGCCGAAACTCCGCGCTCAACCCAGTTTCTCAAGAAGCTTCCTCCTCCTGCGCTCGACTAGCTCGTTGTTGACCTCGTCAAGGGTTGGGATGCGCCATCGTATGCCGTCGCCCACGTCACCGGGTAATTCCATCCACTCCTTCTGTGTTTTGCTCGGCTTTGCGTCCAGTTCATCGCCGAGCAACATGAAATTGTCCCAGGCCTCCTGCTCTTTGGCCGTTTCATATGCTAGCAGCGTGCCGTCCTCTTCGTCTAGGTTGTAGCCGTAGTAGCCCGCATCCACCTTCTGCCTCAGTTCACTCCTCTTTTCGCGCCCCTTGTCCATGTCGTCTTCCGGTCTGCTCTGCCTCTCGAACAACTCCTTGACACCCGGCAGGTCCTTGGCTCGTCCAAAGTATCTGTATCCCTTTCCTCCTCCTGGCACCTCCCGCCCTTCTTCGTCAAGCACTCGCCCGCCTCTCATGTAGTTCGGTCCCCCCAAGCCTCTTATCTGACTTTCCCACATGTGCTTCTCTCTCATGAGTTTGTTGATCTCATCGTTGAGGTCGCGGATCTGGTAGTCTGAAAGGGCCTCGTCCTGGATCTTTGTGACTTTGCGCGAAATCTCCTTTAGCACCTGACCGCGCCATTTCTCGCAAACCGGAATCGAGTTGACAGAGGTGATGAGCTTGGGGCGGCGGGTACGCGATATGTCGATGATACCAGCTTCCGCGGCCTGCGCAGCGCGGAAGCGGAAAAGCATCGAGTGCGCTTTTTCGGAATTACGCGCCATGCTTGCGGTCCGGACTCGGGTTCGAGCTCCACGTTGCTGTAAGGTCGCAGGGGCGAGAGGGCCTCCTTCGATGGCAGTAGCTTTCTGTCGGAGCTAGACGGCGTGCCGTGGCGCGCTTTGGTGTCTTGTCGGGGCGAGATTTTATTAGGCGTAATATACGATGTTCCAAGAGAAACAGATGCTGCCCCGCAGTTGCAGAAGTGAAGATTTGACAGAAACAAGATGCGCGATTGGTGTTCGTGTTGTCGTGGTCGACGAAAGACTCAACGTGACAGGCGCGTTGGCTGGAGCAAAAGTTTAGTGTCCCGGCCTACTGTCTTGGCGTTATTGCGTACCCACTTGGAATTCGGGACCGCCACAATCCCGTCTTGATTTGTTTTGGTGCTGCAAGACTATTGCTCCATTCATAGCACACTGACGACCCCTCTTGCAGCCTGTTTTGACATTGTGTCTAGTTTTGCTCTCGGCAAGAAGCAATCATCTGCACTATAAGGACGAAATGCAATGTGCAATCAATCTCGATCTTGTTTTATTTTTTATCAATCTGACCAGAGACAGTCGACGCTACACTTCTAAGCCCAGGTACAGACATTACATAACGCCCCTATGCTAAATATACAAGTAAAACAATACTGAATGTTGCAGGTCGGGAGAGAAAAATGAATCGGCCGCATATGTTTGAGATGCGCTTCTAGTAGAACGGAGACAAGACGGAGACTAGTCTAGGTGGGAAGCGTCAGGTCATCTCAGTGTACAGCTCCAACCCCAGTCGAGCGAACTGCGCAGAGTAAACAGGAAATACTTCACCGTTGAACGCCATGCACAAATCTCCTTGAATCCGCATTCGAATTTGAGTTTCTGCTTCGTCCGGATCCAAACCGAGGTGTAACGTCCAAAGGCCGAAAAATGAATTGATAGATACATAGGAAAATGGGAATGGCCCCCATACGAAACGACTAGTGCTAAAGGAAAAGAGACCGTCAGTTAGACCAGATGACTAGAGAAGCGTCGTGCGGGACAAACGCGGATGACAAAATAGGAAAGGTTCAGGTATAAGGTGAGATTATGCACCAGCTCCATAGTTCGCTGCCTCCATCTCAGCCTGATGGCGCAGCTGCTCGTTGCGCATCTCAGTTCGCGACTCTGTACGTGACTCCGTACGTGACTCAGTCCGGGACTCTGTGCGAGACTCAGTTCGGGATTGCGCGCGCGAACTTATGGAGCCGAAGAGCGAAGGCCTGGAAGCTGAAGAGTTGACGTGCCGACCTTTGATTGAATGTTGATGAAGATGTGCAACATCGTGCTTGCCTTGTGGACTCGTTAGCTTTCCTACACTGATGCAAACAATCAAGGGGTCTTACCATCGCAGCATGCTCGGACGTTGGGCATGAAGTCCTGATCACGTTCAACATGGTCATGGATATCACGACTGAGATCCATGTTGGACGCGCTGGGTTCCTCGTACGTGGCCGACTCTGTAGCGCTGGTCCTGCTGTTTCGCCGACTAGTGAAGGATCCGCGTAAAGCAGTGACGCTGGGTCGGAGCATGCTGTTGATTCGGCTGGAAACAGATCCATGCGCCAGCGGCTCGGTCGAGGTTGCACGATGTGGTGTAACATGCGACTGTCGAATCGTGGGCACTTGGCCATAATCGCGGGATGATGTGCGCCGGGTAACGTATGAGGACATCGAGCCTCTTGAACGGCCTGTTTGCCGAGAAGAGCTGCGATACCCGCCATTGAACTCGTCTTGAATCTCATCTGCGGTAGCTGCCTTCTGGTCTTGATCAGACTTCGTTGGCGACTTTTGCTGATCGTTCTCGTCGACCCGTTGGCACAGATAATTCAGAGCGTTATACCACGTCTCGTGCCTCTGACCTGTTGTAGCCGTGAACTTCATCGATCGACCAGGTGTGACGACAAGCAAGCTTTTCTGGTGAAGTCCAGGAGGTAGAGGGTTAGGGTCGTCGACTTCTTGAACAGATTCGATGGCTACGCTCTTAGCCTTCAATGTCGTCTTATCGGCACTCTGAGGGTCTCGGTCGCTCCAGTACAGTGTCCTAGTGTAAGGATGAATCCAGAAGAAACGCCGGTGACGGTTCTCAGACATGCCTTCGCGCCCAGTCTTGCGAGTGTACTTCCACAGATATTCGCCAATCATCGTCTGAGTGATGGCCTGGATCATGCGCGGATCTGTCGCACCGGGTGGCAATCCATTGGCAGCAAAAGACGGCCCCCCTGGAATATTGAAGCGTTGGTCTATTTCCGAAGTAAACGAAGATAGTGATGACCTCCGGCTAAGAGGTGAAGACGCTCCGCTACGCTGTGACTGTCGACGCACACGCGGTGTGGTCCCGCCTGTTCTGGGAGTGAGAGTGTTGTTACCAGTCTTGATGGTAGGCGTATGCGGTCGCTTCTTGTAGGCGGATGCAGGCATTGTAGGCGGGCCCATTGTGCCTGGGGAGATTGGTTTGAGAGAAGCCGCGGCGATGACTTCCTTATGATCCGAAGGCAGAGGAGGAGGCGTTGCAGCGCGAGAGCGCATGCTCCCCGAACTGCCTGGGCGTTTGGGTGTTCGACTTGTCTCATTGACATGCTTTTTGCTAGGCGACTCCGGCGGCGACAGCGACTTTTCAAGCCCGGACGTGGTTATCAAACTACTCCATCGCTGACTTCGAGCAAGCAGCAGCTTGTCGATCTGCTGAGCAGACACCATTGTCTGTGTAGCTCCATCGGCCATTGGCGTTTGGGGAGTCTTACTGGCGGCATTGACACTGACAGGTGGAAAGGCTGTGCTAGCATCCCTGCTATCAACCGGTGGGGTGTTAGCGTCCGTGGTATTCTTATTCCAAGATAGTAGAGTATCGAAGTAGCTGAGCTTGGGCGTGGATACTTGCTTATTCGCCGATGCTTCTGTCTGAGAAGAAGCACTAGTGGTTACGGAAGGCGCGGCGGCCCGATGAGCGGTACCAGGTCGCGGAGGAGCCAATGGTTCAGTATCCTGCGCAGCAACAGGGGACAATGTCATAGCAGGGACAGAAACACGATTTGCTGTGGATGGCCGACTTGTCGGTGTTGGCAAAAATGCCGGGAGCGTTGGCGACTCAGGCTGAGTGTCTTGAACAGTCCGCACATCGGAACTGTGATGTAGAGACACCGAAGGAACAGGTAGTGGGATCGGCACGGTCTGCAGTACGCAGACGGCTGACAATTGCAGTGGTATCTGTTCTGGCTTTACGGGTGTGGTGGCCTGAGATGAAACCCCAGAGAAATTAGCGAGAATTGGCCGCTCGGGTCCAATTGGCTCAGTAGTCAGCGAGGACAGTACGGAGATGGTCGACGGTGCTACCCTCAAAGGTTCAATGGGATTGGATGCCTGGATCGACAACGAAGATAGTTGTGACGGATCTGCTCTAGCCACTGCCACCGGGTCCGTAGAGCGAGCGGAGAAACTGGACAACACGAGTTGCGGCTGTCGTAGCGCAATAGGTTTCGTGACTTGTGCAGAAAGTGGAGAGAATTGTTGTCTACTGGTTCCCGGCGCGCGGGGTACTGTCGACTTAGTCGATGTCGTAGAAGATGCAGAGAGGACCACACGAGGCAAATCCTTGGGCTCAGTCGAGCGAGACACCAAAGGTGACATCTGTAACAACGTCGGCTTGTAGGGTGTGACTCTAGGCTCAGTCTCGTGGGCAGACAAACTTGACATTTGGAGTGGTGCACGCTTTTCTCTGTGACCGATATCTTGGGCAGGAGATGCCGGAAGCATATCGTCAGGGCTTCGATTTGACTCCGTTGTCGAGACATATTCGGCTAGTTGTGCGGGCTCGGTCGATTGTGCATAGATAGCAGACGTAAAAAGACCTGCTGGAGCCACTAGGGTTGGGGCAGTCGCCTTCCGCGGCTCCGTAGTTTGATGCGAAATGGAGGAGATGTCCAAAGAAGGTGTAATGTCCTTCACCAGCACTGGTACAATAGGATCAGTGCCATGAGACGATACTGTCGACACCCCAAGAGCAGGAGGAGCAATAAGGCGAGGCTCGGTGCTATGAACAGCCACTGACGACATATTCAGAGGAGCAGTGGGTACGGCATGTGGCGCCGTGTTTTGTGCATGAAGCGGAGATAATGCGAACAACGGAGCTGAAGGGATTGTTGGCTCGGTCCCCTGACTTGAAAGAGAGGACACAGCCAGCTGAGGTATCTCTGGGGGTTGGGGACTAGTAGCATGACCGGAGACGGAAGAGAAGCCAAGGGCTGGCCGAAGTGCAAGCTTGGGTTCACTGTCTTGTGAGGTGACCATGGAGACGTCGAGATTTTGACGAGGCAAAGCTCGCGGGCTTGTGCCTTGCGAATGCAGGGCAGAGACTTGTAATGTAGGCAAGCGAGCAGCATACGGTTCTGTGTTCTGACTCGATATAGAGGATATGGAAATAGGCTCGGGGGCATCCTGTTCGGTCATCGTGCCCGAATCAACCATAGTTGGCCTGGGAGCATCGGGTTGGAGAAGCGACCTTCCGAGAACAGCCTTTCTTAGTGGATCTGGCGTGGCATGGCTTGAGTATACGACACTGGATCGACTTGGTGATCCCTCGATGGAACTAGCATCATCGTCATCGCCACTCAGGTCGTTGAGTTCTGCCAATAGACTCTTGCCTTGGGCGGGAGTGTTCTCGTTGCTGCTGCTGACGTAGCCCGCGGGCGAGTCTCTTGACGCTGGGGGCGTACCTGCGAAGAAATCTAACCCTCTCGGCGTCGATCTCCGCGAACTGCTGTCTCTAGCTCTTAACGTAAAGCGCGAAGTCTTGTGGTGAAGAGGAGTCCTGAAATCGGAATCGTATTCATCGCCAGAGGCAGAAGCAGTGCTGCGGTAGGAATTGATGCGACCAGCTTGTGAGATTGAGGGTCGACTACGCCGGGCAGCAGAGTTGGAAGGGCCGGCCTCGGTCTCAGTCAGCTGGTCGCTGCTGTCTCCGTCGAGGGTCTCGGCTCCGGTTTGGAATGCGTCGGACTCAGTTGCCATACCGTCGCGTTCATTGGCAGTCTCGAAAGCAGCATCTGAGGTTTCGTTGGCAGTGTCGAGGTTTTCGTATGCGCTCGTTCCCGCGACGGAGCTGAGTGCATTTGGAAAGGAGCCCGGTACAGAGTTGGATGGGTGCGGTGGCCGACTTGGGGTGTCGGGCACGGCCTCTTGCTCTTCCCACTCGTCGTCTTCTACAATCTCGTGCGACACGTTGCGCAAGGCCCCAAGACGATCTGGTCGAGCGGGTTTCTTGAAAGCATCCTTGTCGCTCTTCCTTCGCTTGCTTGCGCTACCAGGTCCAACTTGAGCGCGGGTAGCGTCTACTTCATCACGAGCGTCTTGGAGCATGCGCTTCAGTTCGATCTTTTCGGTCTTTTCGCGATGGATATTGTTCTTGAGTTGCTGAATCATGCGGTGGGCGTGTTGAAGCGAATGTTTGAGTGTTTCCGATTCGAGCATACCGTGGCGCGGAGTGGCCTTGCTTGGAGACGGTTCAGGCGAGTGTTCAGGCGTTTGAGATTGCTGCCTGACACCACGATCGTCATCAGACGATCTGTCAGATCGGCCACGATGCTCTGATCGTGCGCGGTAAGCGACAGCTTGAGCCAGCTCTTGATTCTTTGTCATGAGCTCTTCGACCTTGCGCTGCATTGCACCTTTTTCCGTCTCCGTCATGGCCGCGACTCGCCGCAGACTAGAGAGCTCCGTCTCGTGCTGCTTGGTCTTGTTGATGTGATCGTCGTTGAGCTTGGTATACATCTGCTTCAAATCTTCCAACTCCTTCTCCAAAGTGGACCTCTCGGTACGTGCGAGATCCAAGGCATGATTGAGGCTTCGCTCCTTGTCTGCGGCCGACTTGAACTGTGTTTCCGACTCGCGAACCTGTGTCTCAAGATTCCAGTTGACGTCCTTGAGTCGCGATTCGCTTTCGTCCAATGTTCTCAGACGTTGCGACAAGCCTTCGACCTCAATTTCGAGCTGCGATCGGTCCAGATCAGCCGCCTTGAGGGCGTCATCCTTCTCGAGGAGGACGGCCTGGAGGTCCTTGAGCTGGGAAAGCAAAGAGGTGGAGATTTCGGTGGCCAGGGCGATGTCATTGATGCGGCTGGGCTGCTGGTTCCTCTGCTTCCGCGACGGAACGCTCACTTTGGTGGGTGACTGGATGGCGTCGCTGGAGTAGATGGAGCCACCGGCAGTGGGATCCGTCTCGCCACTGGGTACGCGAGACTTGGGGAGGAAGGCGCGAGCCGTCTCCCTTCCAACCTCGTTGAACTCCTTTTCTAGCTCGGCCAGCCTCTGGCGCAGCTCTGGCCCGATGTCGTTGTCTGGCTGCTGCTGCTCGACCTCGCGCAGCTTGTCCTCTAGCTCCTTTCTCTGCTGAACAAGCGCGCTCCCCAGATGCGACGTCTCCTGCAGTCTGCGCGTCGTCTCTGCCAAGTGTGCCTGTAGAGCGCGTTTGGCCTGTAGGGGGGATCCGTTCAAGTACAGCGAGAATTGCGAGTTGTCGAAGGCCGAGTATCGCTGCCGGTGGGCGTCGTGCGGTGCGGCGAGGAAGGGGTCGGCGCCATTGTGGTGCTCCACCGAGAGCGCGCCCGGTGGAGGATTTGCTGTAGCCATGAAGAGTCGCTGGATGCGTCTGCTATTGGTTCATCTCCTGGCGTGGCTCCCCCGCTTCCACGTAGACGTGCCCGGGACGGCGGGCGGAGACGGGATGCGTTGGGCGAACGGTGCAGGGCAGGAGTGGGCGGCGAGCGCGTGTCGCGGCGGCAGGCGGCGGCGGAGGTGTTTTCGGGGTAGTATTAGAGACAAGAGCGATGGTACGTCTCACTCTGTCGGGCTGTGGGTGTAATGCACAAAGGGTTTGGGGGGCAAGGACGCGCGGGAAAGCGACTGGGGACACGGCAGCGGCTGCTGGCACTCGGTCGCGTTTCCGTCACACTAGAGAAAAGAAGCAAAGGCGCATCCCCAGGCAGGGGCGCGGAATGGCGAAGAAAGAAAAACAAGGGAATGCCGAACGGGCTGGAGGGGCTACAGAGGCGACAGAGGAGGGATCATGGTAGAGCGCATGATGTTGTGCACAAGAGCGAAATGAGGCGACCGTGCGCTTTTGCCGCTTTCACGCTTTCGCCATGGAGCCAGCGCTGATACCCATAACATATCCACAACATCAACAAAGCTACGTCTGCGCCTCCATTGGTTCGCGCCGGCACTTGCTGCACGTCTGCTGCCTAGACTGCGAGACTGTCGTGGTAGTGCCGCGGGCCGAGGGGCTGTTTGCGTGTGCGATTGGAGCAACCCAAGCACGACGCGCATCGCATTACCCCACGACCGGCATCCCGGACCGCATCACGTGACGTCGAATTAATCAGCCACAGCTGGGCTGCCTCTCTGTGCCTCACTCCTACATGTCCAACATCTCGCACCTCCGCCACCCACGAAACCCCCGGCATGGAAGCACCCGTCGTCAAGTTCAAGAAGCGAGCAGCAAAAGCTGCGCCCCGGAAGGTGGCCCCGCCGCCGCTGCCGCAGTCGGATTCGGATTTCTCTTCCGGCTCAGAAGGAGAGGGCGAGCATGGCCGCGTGGTGAAGCGGCGAAAAGTCAACGACAACGCACTCAAGGCGTCGACTGCAGACCAGAAGACGCACGCGGCAGTTGCAAGTACAACGCAATACGCAGCAAATCGCTCGGCGGTCATGGAAGCAAGCAACGATGCGACGAAGCAGTCAAACTGGTACGACGAAAATGCCCGAGACGCTCTCAGCTCCAAGAACCTGCTCGGCAGCACGCGAACGAAGCCTCACCAACTCATCGAGAAGAACCCCGACGCTCCCAGTCGCCAAGTAGGACCCATGAAAGCATCGACAAACATACGGACGATTACCGTTACAGATTACACGCCGGATGTGTGCAAGGACTACAAGCAGACTGGTTTCTGTGGCTTCGGCGACAATTGCAAGTTTTTGCACGCGCGCGAAGACTACGCGGCAGGCTGGAAGCTAGACCGCGAGTGGGACATGTCGACCAAAGGCAAGAAACCTGGAGGCACCGTTGTCGCTTCTGCCAACAGGGATGAGAAGGAAAAGGACGAAGACGGAATGGATCTGGCGCAACTCGAAAAGATACCGTTTGTCTGCATCATCTGCAAGACGCCCTACAAGAGCCCCATCATCACCAAGTGTGGACACTACTTCTGCGAGCCTTGCGCTTTGAAGAGATATCGCAAAGATCCCACGTGTGCGGCGTGTAGTGCCAAGACGTATGGTGTCTTTAACGGCGCAAAGAATCTCCAGAAGCTGTTGGAAAAGAAACAGAAATGGGAGGACAAGAAGAAGGCTGAGGCAGAAGAAAAGCGGAAAGAAGAGGAAGACGGCGACTGAGTCTGCTGGGTGGCATTACGGTGGAAACATCAACAAGCCGGCGCAAGCATGCGGCTGTGCTGGGCAACAGACGGTATCGTGGATGAACAGGCCATTCCCTCCCAGTCATAAAAGCGATACGTCACCTTGGAATGCAAGACGACATGACAAGGCAGAGGCATACCCACCGCAGCTCTCATGAAGCTTGAAGAGTAAACTTGCTGGCAAAGCTGCTGTCGTTGACAGGAAAAGAAACCAAGTCGCACGCCTCGTTGCAAGGTAGACTATACGACAAGTCCGTCCTCTGTTCGAGGAGGACAGGACTGGCTTGCGAAGCATATGAGGAAATATGCTACAGTAATACACATAGAAAGTAGACAGTGCGCTCATGCAAGTGTACATCAATCCTAATTAACGTGTTCACACTTTTCAGCCACGCCCACACAGTTCAGTCTACCATGTCAGAGGCTCAATCTCTTCGTCTCCTCTATACTCGTCGTGATCTTCACGGTTTCAGACGACGTTTCCCTCCACAAGAAGCATGGCATATCGCCGTTAACTCGCTAGAAGATGCTGTGAAGACGGAAACCAAGATGGCGCGGAAAAGTATCTGATAGTGGGAGATACTAGAGATCTAATGCGTTGCGATAGATATATGATATATACGCATATACGAGAAGCATCGAATAGCGGAAGAATACCACGGTAGTTTATTACATCTCACTTCGCTAATTTGAAGCACGTGTGGCACAAAGACAAGTAAGATCGATAAAAGGTTCGTGATATTAATACAAGAAGGGTTTGAAGGCAAAAAGTCTAATTGTCATGTTCGCTAGACATAGAGTCGCACTCTACATCCCACTTCCGGCACCAGGAAAAGCCTTCAACAGGGTTGCATCGTACTTAATCAGCTCGGGGCAACCAAGCTCCGCAATAATCGGGTCTAGAACAGAAGCCAACTTTTGCACAGCGACCAAGACGTTGCCAACTAATCCGCGGAGGACGTCAGGAGCAGCTTCGCTGGCAGCCTGGAACGCAAGGCACATTAGGTTATTACCCTCGAGAAGCGTCTGCGCGTTGAGAACGTTGCCTGTCAAGTCATCAACATCGACGCCAGTGAACGTATTTGGCTGGCCAGTGTTTCCGCCGATTCGGATTAATTCGGGGTGGGCTTTTTCGAGCGAAAGGGCTTCGGAAGTGAAGGCCAGGATGCTGTAGTCGTCGCCGATGACGCGGCGGTACCACTGTGATGTGTGTTAGCGAATGCAAGCGGATGGTGTTACCGTGGGTACTCACGTTCTCGGGGATCTTCTCTTGCCCACGAGCCCACTTGTAATTACCTTTCTCTCCAGTAACACCCTGGAATGACATGAGTGTCTCGGCATCAAGGTAGCCTTCTGGGTTTTCAGCAGTGTGGTTGGCGAAGAAACGGTAGGTGAATTGATATGTCGCGGGGTTAAGCGCAAGGGCCGTGAGTGGGCCTGAGAAGTAATGTCCATTCGTAGCAATCGAGTGCTTCGTGCGGTCAAGGCGGAACGCGGTCAAGACGGGGATATCAATCCCGTTCTCGCCGAGAGGCATAGAGAGGAGCTGCTCGAAATAGTCCAAGTTGAGAGAGATGGGGTTGCCACTACGAGTAATGAGTTATGCTGACCATGCAACATGCAGAAGAAACGGGAATGACATACGTTGAGTACAAGTCCCCCCGCGTGGGAGATCCATCAACCTCGAAGCGGTTGTGTGACGCACTCAGGCCTTGTGGTTCTCCGAGAAGGCCGAGTGATGAGGTGACACCGCCTAGGAGTCCACCAGTCTTAGGTTTGCCGCCAATTGAAAAGGAGGTGAGATCACCGGCCATGACGGCGGAGTAGACTGCCAGAAATGCGGAAAGATCCAGGCCCATGCCAAACACTGACGTTGTTAGCAGTCCGTGAATAAGAGCGTAAAGGCATGCAGACCTTCATTGGCGGCCGTCGTCATTTGTGTGATTGTGGAGATGCCATTTCGGGGAAGGTAACCGTGGTTTGCCATCACGTTGATACCAGGACAGGGTCCACGGAGATCATTGGGGCCTGGCGCAATCTGACAACGAAGTCGTTAGCAAATGCAACTACATGTCGCGCATCTCGGTAGGGCTACTCACGTATTTATGGTCACCAGTGATACTGATGCGCTGAGCCTCTGCGTTGAATGCACGTTTGACGTGGGTACCCGATCGCTTACTCTCGAAATCTCTTGAGACATTCTCTGTCAAAGCGGTGATTTCCGCAAGGGTCGCTTCACTGATGTCGCCTTTGAGCATGCTCGCAGGGAAGGCGAAGGTCGCCAATGAGAAGAGCGATGCGCTGCATAGTACTGAGACCCTCATGTTTGCAACAACAAGCTCGGATGTTCGGGAAAGAGTGTGAAGGAAGGACGTGTAGTTGGATTGAGGAAGATGCGGTCAGCGACAGGGACGGATCGTTTAAGTTTCATAGTGGCAAATGAGTGCTGCACATACGTGGGCCGCCATGACTCTCATCTAACTGTCGCCGATAGAGATGCCAATCCGGGGTCAGGTACCTTCCAGCACAGTCATGACAGCCCGCTTTACTTGCTTCAAATCGCAGGGTGGAGGGCCTGAGCAAAGAGATCGACGTGGGCGTTCTCTCCGCACGCCTTGACCAGCCGTAATCCGCTCGCGCGAGCCATATGGTTCAGTCCGTTACCGGGTTTGCTAAATCCCGCGACTGGTGTTAAGGAGAATAAAGCGCTCGAGCCTTGCCTAGGCAAGAAGTTAGGCTTGCACTGGGTACATCGTAGGAATGTCGAGCGAGTGTCCCAAGACTTTTGAGCCCTGAACGGCGATCCAAGCGCGCCGGACCGTGTTCGGGTGGGTACCTAGGTAGTTAAGCCTCCAGATCGGCAGCTACTGTAGATCTCGCCTTTTTTACCGCATTTGGCTGACCAACGTTGTACAGAGATGATGAACGTTGCCCGCATCGATCAAAAGCGGGTTATCTATTTTCAACACGCGTGAGGCTGCAAGAAGATTGAGTGATCTATGCATCCCGCCCTCGCCCTACTTCCATGCGGCGGAAATGGAGATTGCGCAGGTGAACACCTGGGCATGTAAACCCGCCGGCAATAACACATCGGGCCAAGACGCATCCGAGACCAGCGCATGTGGTCTAGCGGGCATGATGTCTACCTAGGCCGTCGTTCATACGTGCTAGGAGGTTGAAGGTATATTCCTCGCTACCCAAGTCAGAGCCCAACGCAGGGGCAACGTCGGACTGAAGACGTTATAGTTTCCAAAAGCCGATCATGGGTAACAAACCACTTTCGGGGACCAATGCAACAAGATCGGTGCATTACCCGGCGTGGGCTCCAAGTAGGGTCGCATGCGAGTTCAAGTCTCGCGCAGAGAGACCCCACTGCATGATTGGCGGCGAACAATGATACCTACGTACTATTCTAAGCGTCCCCACAAGCATATGCCAAGTTTGTACTTCAGAACAGCCCCAATGTTCTAGTTTGCGTTATAGGAGACGGATCTCAGCCGGGTACCCACCACCCAAGGAAAAGGGTGAATACCGGCCACTACCCAGGTGGCCAAATTACATCCGCAACCCTAAGTATACTCGACATCGTTCGATATAAACTGGATCCTTGTCCCACGTCAGCATCGTAACGAAGCACCACAACTGGATCTTGATATAGCGCCAAGGAGCATTCGCTTCGATTCCTTCTCCTTTGCGTTATTCTTGAGTCCAATCCAAATGGCTGCCTACGATTCTTGGGTTAGCAACCCAGACGAGAGCCATGGACCGCTCATGTCCGTCGTCACCTGGTCGCTCGTTTCTGTTTCCGCAGTCTTTCTGTTCTCGCGGCTTTATATTCGGCAGCGTCAAGGGAAGCTGTGGCTGGACGATTGCACACTTTCCGTCAGTTGGGTAAGTGCCACAACATCCCTAAGCAAAGAGCAGCTGACTCATACGACATAGATCTTACTTCTGGTCCAAGTTACCATAAACCAACTGTCTATCAACATAGGCTACGGAAAACATACACTTGACCGTAAGTTGCCAAAGGAGACTTGCACATTTCACAGCTCGGAACGCTAATCTTCACGCTAGTCGATTTGCGCAATCTTGATAAAATGATGTATATCGGCGCGGCGGAACTGACGATATATACCGTCGCTATTGCGCTCAGCAAGATCTCCTTTGGACTCACTTTGCTTCGGTTGACGGACGGACGGGTCAGACTTTTCGTAATCTTTGCGATCTCTACCCTGGCGATTTTCGCAGTCCCTGCCACCGTCATACCATGGGTACAATGCAAACCGCTGGCCAAAACCTTTGTGGATCTCATACCGGGCGAGTGCATTGACAAGCATCCCTCTGTCGTGTATGGGCGTTTCCAAGCTGGTGAGCAGACAGCCTCAAAGTGTGTACCCTGATTCCTCAGCTGACATGCGACGCAGTGTGGTCAGCACTTATGGATGTGTGTCTTGCTGTGCTGCCGTGGAAAATCCTTTGGAACCTGCAAATGCGTACCGCAGAGAAGATCGGTGCAGGTGTCGCTATGAGTCTGGGAATACTGTAAGTTCATGCATCGTCGGATTGAAGACTGCGCTGACTTGGTCGAAGAGCTGGAGTTACGTCAATTATCAGATCCACATACATTGAGAAATTGACAGTCCAGGATGTATCATGTAAGGCATCTCAAGGCGTGCACGGATCATTGCTAACAGCCACAGATGAATCGTACAACTCCATCATATGGGCCGTCGCAGAGTGTTCCATGGCCATCGTGGCTACCTCGATTCCCGTACTTCGCGTCATTTTCAGGCAGGCGTTCAACTCGGCGATGGAAGGCTACACGGGCCAGAGTAAAAGCAAATCAAGATCGAACCCTTCCAACGCTGGGAGCTCGGGGAACCGATTGAGCACACGACAATTGAGCAAGAAGACGCCAGATATATCGGTCAGCGGAGAATCTGTGAAGGAAGTGTTCGGACGTGGATCACGTGGATCCAAGAACTATGTAGAGCTAGATGATTTGGTAGTCGACGAGGCGACTGGGCGCGCTACTGCTTCGTCTCTAGAGTCTCTGGCAAACGATGGCGAGCGCCATGTGCTAAACTGGCACGTGTAGCTTGCTCTGGGATTACCTAGGTAGCGCGGACAAGTCGCATAGGCTCATCAATCCATCACTCCTGCTGCTGGGGGCTGTATTATTCATAAACAACATGGAGTCAATCATACCATCAATCCCGTCATCATAGTGGTGGCTCCAGATGTCGGCAGAGAAGGGGTGACGTGGGCTACGCAGACGCGCAAGATGTATAAGATGGACTTTTGGCGAAGCTTTGTAAACGTAGACGCCGGCTTCCTGGAAAGGTTGCATCCTGTATGGCTTTCGTAGCAAGGCGAGCAGACAGCAATGGCAGCTCCCGACAGTTCCTGATGCACTATCCTGTCGGTCAGCAGGGTGGCTTGGCACATGCCGGAGCGGACCTCGGGATGTACATGTACGTGTGTTGTGCATGGGAGAGCCCCCACGGAGCGCTGCCTGAAAGGGCAAGGCGTGTGTGGGAAGCTGGGCGGGTCGAAAGCGTGCGAGGGCGGCACCCTGAGCGCTGCCCCTCATGACCGGCGGCGGAGGCAGAGATTTGCAAGCACCATCTGGACGCCGCCCGAGCACGCGATCAAGCTTTGCGACGCTGGGCGCCGGCCAACCGCCCGTCAGCCCCCGAATGCGGCGCTCCCGACACCAGGTACGCGACGACTGACCTCTCCGCCCTCTACCAGCACGCGAAGGCGACCGACGCCAGCCCGGCACATGCCCAACGCGGAATTGCAGTCGATGCTTCTCACCGCCGATGCGGGCCTGGCCGAGGTCCCAGGCTGCACCAGAGAGCAATTGGACGCCCTGGCCCGCAGCGTCGAGCTGAGGAGGCAGCAACTCGAGGCCGACATCCGGGACTACATCGCGGCCAAGCAGGCCGAGCTGCGCAGACATGGCCACGAGGTAGGCGTCCCGGCCCCTTCTCTGCGTGCCGTGAGAGACTGATTTGGGTCTAGCTTGCAGACCGGTACCGCGACATGGCATGCGACCAGCAGCCTGCGCCTGCAGTGCCAGAGCAGAGCTGCCTAGGGCCTGCCCAGGGCCCTGCTGCACCGCTCGACCCGGCGCCCGACGACAGGATGCGGCACAAGAAGCACACGCGCGTGCACAAGCGGGAGCGCGAGCTCTATGGACTCGTCACGCCCGTCTTCCTTCCCTTGCTCGATGCGCGCGACAGCTCGCCCGAAAAGAAGAAGACGCCAGCCGCAGGACATGCTGAGCACGCCCGAGACGACCCGAAGCCTACCAGCGACGCCCTCGACACCGCGGCCATGGCGCTGCGAGAGCCAGCCCAGCTGAGGCTGCCAGCCAAGAAGTCTGCGCTGCGGCACAAGGACACGCCTCGATCGCGCCGGAAGAGAGTCAGTCTGGTCATCCATGGCCAGACCGTCCTTCCCGCAGACACCGTCGCCGAACCACCTCTGGCTTCGCCCAGCAGCGTCGCAACATCGGCTTCCACCTCGACCGCTTCGCTCGACGACATGATAGATCCGCGACTCACCACCCCGGAGCCGCCAGTCCATGTCCAACGCCCTGACGCCGTGCACCACAGCCTACCTCTCCCCATGACCAACGCCATCAACTCGGCTTCAAAGCTCCTCTCCGAAGCCCCGACACCCATATCCGTCGCCGCCGCCCACATCCCCCCAGTTGCCTCCCCACGGTCCCCCAGCATACCTTTGGGCCCTACACAGACCGCGACACCCACATTCCTCGACCCTTCGCCCGCTCTGCACCAACACATCACGCAAACGATCCCGGACACCGCAGGTCCAGACCCCATCTACTCGACCGCACCAGCTACGAGTGCTGAACTCGAAATTGACGACCTCGCAGACGACGACACGAATTTCGATACTTACGTCGGCGGCTTACACGGGAGTGGTGTTGACGATGTGGATCAAGCGGGCAGTTACGGATATCCGAGTAGTCTGGGAGCCAGCTACATGGAGAGCTATATGCAGAACCGACCATTGAGCGTGAGGATGCAGGCTGCGAACAAGGCGGGCTTGGCTGACGAGGAGAAGAGGAGGCTGCTCGAGCAAAGAGACAACAACGAGGCCGAGGCCGAAGCTGAAGAAGAAGAAGAAGATCACAGCAACAGCACGAGTGCGGGGCATAAGGCTGTTGACGCAACCGAGGACAATTTCATGGGAGATATGGACGACTTCTGAGATTGGATGCCACATCCTTGTATATACGCGCGACCTTTCGATCCTTACGCAATCTTGTTTGTTAGACACTAGGCATTTCATGTACACGACAATATCTACGGACCCTTTATACAGCCCTGTTTGGTTTACTCTGGCTCGAAGAGATGCTCACACTTTAGTCCCGCTGGCTAACCTGCTGAACTCGATTTACGACTCTATCGAGCAGGCTGACCATCTCATCGCTCACGAATCTGGGGTCGTCTTGTTGGATAAAGTGGCCACAGCGGACAGCTGTGATGGGACCTATGGCTTTGCCTTCGTCCGTGATGCGACAGAGACCTTCGTTGTAGCGACGCCAAGCGGGGTTGGCATAAGTCATGGTCAGAATCTTGGGTGTCTGCATTGTACCCTCGTCTATTTGCCGGGTTAGTCTCTGTAGTCCAAGCGTCGACTTGGAAAGAGACAGGTACGTACACGACTGCTCGGCAAACGTTTCCCAGTCATGACCTACGACTGTGAGGTACGGGCCTCTGCCCAAGTAGCCCTCGAGTTTTGGTGCATCTGCGTAGGGTAATAGTTGTGGCAGATTACGTCTGGATAACCCCTCTTGACTGGGAACGTCGGGATGGAACATTCTTCTATACTTTTCTCTGGTAGCTCGTACTTCGTCTTGTGTGACACCTTCGGGTAGTGTGTGCGAGTTGAAGTCTGGTGCATCGGGGTCCGGCCACAGGTCTTGGTAGTCCGAGTTGGCCATGATGCTGTCCAGGAACAACAGACCAGATACGGTTCCTGGATAGCATTGCGCAAAGAGTCTTGCAAGTGCGCAGCCGATGCTGTTGCATACAAAGATGAGACAGGGGTAGTGCGTAGGTTTGTTGACGTCAAGGTGTTCCCTCCAGATTTGTAGGGTAAATTGCTTCAGTGCTTTGACTGCAGATATCGCGTCGTGTCCGTGGGACGGGGGTGGTTGCTGGTCGTCGGGATCAGCATCTGAATCTCCTTGACCATATCTATCGTAGCTCAACAGAGCAGGATACGGTAGACGCCCCACTATTCTCTTTTCCAGAAAGCTGCGCATGGCAGGATCCCATGAGCTTCTTGGCATCATGAGCCCGTTGAGGAAAACGATGAGCGTTTGCGAGAAAGGGTTCGGATGGCCGCCGTGAGGTTTGGATGCAGGGTAGTACGTGTAGTGCAAACGTGCACCGGGCTTATTGTCCAGTGCCAGTGAGGAAACCTCGGCATCCGGAAATGGTGGAAGGTCATCTTCGGATGAGTTCATGCTACCGGGGAATGGAATCGCGTAGCTGCGATTGTTCATGGAGTCGTGTTCCCGAGCTGTGTTGATGGGGTCTGCTTGTGCCGAATTGGTACCTGGTGAATTAGCCTGGTCCATGATAGCAGGCTTTTCCCTTGTTGCCGGCCCTCCTCTTTCTTTCCTGGTCAAGCCTGAGTACTTGAGTTGCGGAGAGATGTACGGGAATGCATCCATGGCCTGGCGCAGTGGGGGCGTAGCGATTACCAGCCATGCAAATTGAGTAGGGGCGATGTGCAACTGAAGCGGAAGACGCCGGAATGGGGTCTATCTGGCAGACAGAGACGGCTGCAAGATTCAGGAACGAGTAGGCAGCTGTTGTGTTCACGGAGGCTAATTCGAGAGTGCATTCAGCAACACATTACCCCTCTTCGCGTCCAAGGCGGGAGAGAAGAGCAGGATCTAGGTCTCGATCGGAGCCAGGGCCTATGCTGCCAATGAGCTCTCACGTGTAGGCGTGTTCCATGTCGCCAAGGGTAGCGATGTTCAAAAGGGTTACGAGGTCGACCAAAGTGGTGCGCGCGCGGTATCGGTCGAGACGATGATGTCGCGAGATGGCGCGAGATGGCGCGGGTCACGGGCACCCGCTCATGGCAGCCGAGCGCGAAGGCGGGTGGCTTGGAGATTCTGGCAGACTAAGAAACAAAGCGTGAAACCAGAAGCGAGCGCTGCAGGAGAAGGAACCTTGGAAAACACACGGCGCTGCAATGGGTGGGGGCGACGTATGCAGCCAGGAACCGGCGGCTATGACGTGGGCGGGTTCCCCTTCACCGTAGCCGCGTGCCGCGTCGCTGCATGTGCGCTGGCTGCGTCCCCTTGATATGAGCAACATCTCACCCACGCCGTTGCTGCCAGCCGCTTCCCACCGCCCAGTCTTACGCCCTCCACTCCGACGCATCCCGCTTTGGCTCGTCTCTTCACCACCCGACGCTGCCCACGAGCCCGCAGTGTGCAGTAGGTTCGCCTTGGAGAGTTGATGCACCCTGACCATGTGAGAGATGGACTATACCAAGTGCATGCACGACATAGACTGACTCGGTATCTTCACCTTTGCAGGCCATACGCCGACGCTCACACCCAGACCGTCTGGGCTGGCCTTTGCAGGATGCATGTCCGCCCTGACATCCTCTTCACGGCACCCGACACTACCACTCCGCCCGCCGAGATGGTAACGGACAAGTTGCAGGGCCTCGACAACATGGTGACTGGCGCCCAGCTGGGCACCCTCGACTCCAATGGCGCCTCGTTGCAGAGCCTGCTCCAGAGGCGACACAGACGGCCGGGCATGCCCACGCGCATCTCTCTGCCCCCGGCTGATGTCGACGACCAAGTCCTCCCCTCTCCGCCTCCGACGCACGCTCTCCTCTCCCCGTTGCCCGAAGCCAACAAGCGCTTTGCCGGCCACACTCCGCTGATTCCACGCGCCCTTTCGCCAGTGCAAGACGAGCAGCCCGCTGTGCAAGAGCCGCCTGCCCAGGAAGAGCAAGCGGGCACACCGCCAGAAGACCAGCCCTTGATAGGCCCACTGATGCTGCCTACCAATCCCGTCGATGGTG